TCTCTCTCTCTCTCTCTCTCTCTCTCTCTCTCTCTCTCTCTCTCTCTGATGTTGGCCAGTTTTGTCACCTTGTTTGGTTTTTTTGAAAAAATATATTCTTTTGTTTACAGTATGCTCTATTTTTATCTTGTTCATTGAATTGTGAGCCATCCATCTACAGTAGGTCTGGAGTCAGGTGCCATCTAAAACAAATGAATAAATAAATGAGCTGGTGCCAAGAATTATCCATATAGAGTTCTAAATCAATTGAATTCCATAGTTGAATCTATAATTATTTTTTCATGAGCAGGCACTCCCCTATACTGGTTCATACCTTGAGGGTCCTCCTGGACTCACCATCTTTGAGCAAGACTGACAGTTGGATATCCTCTGCAGTGTGGTGATATTATTATGAATAGGTTTTCTTTAGCAATATGTGACTGGATTATTTTATTTATTTATTATATTTTCGTGTTTTCGGGGTATATGAAGTTATTATGCTTTAATCATTATTGGATTGAAGTGCAATACCATTGGTTGGTTTTGGACTAAGCACTAAGGCATCATGCACTCCTGTGAAATAAATGAATAAATACATATTCCTTGTGCCAATGATTTATTTGATGGCATTGTAGAAGCATCTTTAAATGATGGCAAAGTGAAAAATGCTACGTGCACAATGATTCCATGTCAGAATGTTTTCCTAATGCTGTTTGAACACTTTTGTCCATTATCAAGGGTAAATCTTTATAAGAGTTATGAAAATAATTTCCTGCTTAGGTCTGCTGTCCATAAAATGCTGATCTCTAAACTGAGCTTTGAGGAAAGTATCTTTCAAAACTTTCAAGGCACTTTTTAAATTTCTGCTAGTGAGGACATTTCTGTGATGCAGCAGGCATGTGGATCATATGCATTGCGTTGGCAAGAGATGCAGCTATATACATTTAAATGAATAAAATAAAATGGATGCTATGTCTTAAAACAAACACTATGTGCCAACTGGAAGAGTATCTCCCTCTAACGCTGGCTTTTCACATCATATCACATGCTAGTCTAGAAAGTCCTAAGTCAGAAGTAGCTTCCAAGTGAGTGCAGGATGGTGGGCCTAGGCAGAAAGTACAGTCTAGTAACATTTAGGCACCTTTCCGGAGGACAGGTGCCTATTAATATATATAAAATCTTATGTTTTCTTCAATGAAAGAAAGCCCTGAAGACAGGTCCACCTACAGTACTTCCCCGTCTGATTTGTAGGATGTCCTTTAGATGTCCTTCTATTAATGCAACTTAGAAAAACAAAATCCCATGTTGTCACCATCACCATCACCCTCAGCCTCAACCTCAACATCACAGAAAGCTTAATAAAACTAAGTGTTAATCAATCAACACACTCAAAACCAAAGAACTGAATACACTCAAAACCGTAGAAATGGTGGTAGACTTTAGAAGAAACCTTCCCATACTACTACTTCTGACAATACTAGACAACACCGTATCAACAGTAGAAACCTTCAATTTTCTAGGTTCTACTATATCACATGACCTAAAATGGACACCTAACATCAAAAGCATCATCAAAAAAGCACAACAAAGAATGTTCTTTCTGCACCAACTCAGGAAGCTCAAACTGCCCAAGGAGCTGCTGATCCAGTTCTACAAAGGAATTATTGAGTCTGTCATCTGCACCTCTATAACTGTCTGGTTTGGTTCTGCAACCCAACAGGACAGACACAGACTTCAGAGAGTAATAAAGACTGCAGAAAAAACTATTACTACCAACCTGCCTTCAATCGAGAACCTGTATACTGCACGTGTCAAAAAGAGGGCTGTGAAAATATTTACAGACCCCTCAAATCCCGGACATAAACTGTTTCAACTCCTTCCCTCAAAATGACACTATAGAGCAGGCTTGTCCAACCCACGGCCCGCGGGCCGCATGCGGCCCAGGTCGCCTCGTAATGCGGCCCAGTGCCCACCCCAACCTTCTGGCAAGAGCCAGCGAGGAGGAGGAGGAGAGGCAGGCACGAGGCGGGGCGAGGCGAGCGCCACGCCAAGCAGCAACAGAAAAGGCGGGCACCGCCTTTGCTGCTTCTGCCCCCCCCGCCGCCCCCGCTGCTTCTGCCCCTGCCGCTTCTGCCCCCGCTGCCGCTGCTTCTGCCGCCGCTGCCGCTTCTGCCCCCGCCGCCGCTTCTGCCCCCGCCGCCGCCGCCGCCGCTGCTGCCCCCGCCGCCGCTTCTGCCCCCGCCACTGCTGCCGCCACCGCTGCTGCTGCTGCACCGAGCCTCCCAGTCCTCGCCTTCCAGTCCTGCCGGATCCAGCCGGGCCATTTGCAGGAGGAGAGGTAGGCGCGAGGCGGGCGAGCTTTCTTCCCCCCCCTCCCCCCGCAAAATTTGGCCGGAAAATTAATAAAAAATAAATAATTTTTAATAAATAATTAATAATAAATAATAAAAATAATTTATAATTTATTATATAATTTTATAATATAATTATTTTATAATAATTTATTATATGTGCGGCCCAAACCAAATTTTCATCTTCTAATGTGGCCCAGGGAAGGTGAAAGGTTGGACACCCCTGCTATAGAGCATTGCACACAGAACAACTAGACGCAGAACATTTTTTTCCTGAAAGCCATCACTCTGCTAAACAAATAATTCCCTCAACACTGTCTAACCATTTACAAAATCTGCACTACTATTACTATTAATCCTCTCGTCACTCCTTATCACCCATCCCCTCCCACTTGTGATTGTATGACTGTAACTTTGTCGCCTGTATCCTTATGATTTATATTGACTGTTTCCTTTTATCTTTTCTTTTATGTATACTGAGAGTATTTACATCAAGACAAATTCCTTGTGGAATTTGGCCAATAAAGTATTCTATTCTATTCTATTCTATTCTATTCTATTCTATTCTATTCTGTTCTGTTCTGTTCTGTTCTGTTCTGTTCTGTTCTGCTCTGCTCTGCTCTGCTCTGCTCTGCTCTACTCTACTCTACTCTACTCTACTCTACTCTATTCTATCAACCAATTTAAACACATATGTAAACATATAACATTTCTTTGTAATTAATCCTTTAAGGAAAGGGTTACATGAATAAATAACTATTTATGATTTTTTAAAAGCTGGTATGTGGTAATATAATCTATTGATCATTTTATCATTTTCTGTAAGGCC